TTGACATGTGGGGATTATGGGGATTACACCTCAAGATGAGATTCTGCATGGGGACACAGCCGAACCATATCACCAGCCAAATGTGATGGTAGAGCAAGTTTGGTGAGGCACAGCCTGCTATGACAGTAAAATGCACAAAGGACAAGAGTGACCCTCTCATTGTCCAGTCTGTGGCCACTTTCAGCTCCTGCCTTACTTAGGACACCCTTTTTTTGAGACAAGGTATCATTCTGTTGCCCAGGCTGGAGTGCAGTGGCACAATCACAGCTCACTGTAGCCTCAAATTCCTGGGCTCAAGTGATGCTCTTGCCTCAGCCTGCTGAGTAGCTAAGACTACAGGAGTACACCACCAAATCTGGCTGATTTTCTAATTTTTTTGTAGAGATGGAGTCTCATTTTATTGCCCAGGCTGGTCTCAAACTCCTGGCCTCAAGTGATCTTTCCACCTAGGTCTCCGAAAGTACTAAGATCATAGGTGTGAGCCGTAGCATCTAGCTAAGAAATGATGCTCTTGACCCTGTTCTCATCTTGATTCTCTCCCCTCTCTTGACCCCTATGATGACACTCTGTTCTCCTGCTCCCCCTCTGTATTCCAATCGTAGCCTTTGCCTCTTCTCCCTGGCACTCTCCTGCTGAGGCTCCTTCAGGCACTGGCCTCCACCTCCTGGGTGAAATCCAGGTTCCTTTGGACAGCAGACAAGGGCCTCTGCCATTTGGCTTATCCACATGATTTACCCTCCTTCTCCACTGGCTATATCCTCTCTCATCTCTGTGACTTTGTGCATTTCTTTACTCTGCTTGGAATGCCCTTTGTCCCTCTCTGCCACCTCACTGGGAGAACTCCTATTCATCTTTAGTGATCAGCTCAGGTGTTGCCTCATCCTGTAATAATAATAGTAATAATAATAATAATGCCTCATCTGAATTTCCAAAACACCCTGAGAGTGTCTTGGTCTTAGCACTTATCACATTAAATAGAAATGATCTATTTACCTGTGTGTGCTCCACTAGTCTGTCAGCCACACTCAATGCCTGGCACAGCTTGGCATGCAATTAAATGCTCAATCCATGTTTACTCATTGAATGAATGAGTCAATGTTCAGTTATCCTTCAGTATAGATGGGGGATTGGTTCCAGGACCCCCCACTGACACCAACATCACAGATGCTTGAGTTCTTCATATAAGATGGGTAGTATTTGCATATAACCTATGTAATCTTCCTGTATACTTTATATCATTTCCAGATTACTTATAATACCTAATACAATGTAAATGCTATGAAAATAGTTATTATACTGCATTGTTTAGGGAACAGTGACAAGAAGAAAAATCTGTACACGTTCAGTACAGAACGAAACTATCCATGTTTTCTTCCAAATATTTTCAACCCATTTGTGGTTGAATCCACAAACGTGGAACCCACAGACACAGAGGAACAACTGTATTTTGTTATTGTTCCCAGCGTGGCTACTCCTGGGCAATGAATGTGATCAGTCTTCTCAGAGCATTTTTATGTGGTAGATATATTTTCTTATTGTGATTAAAACACATGTAATGCAAAATTTACCATTGTAATCATTTTAAAATATAAATCCAGTAACATTCAGTACCTTCAGAATGTTGTGCAACTACCACCACTTTCTATGTCCAGGACATTTTTATCCCTATACCCCTTCAGCAGTCATGCTCCATTCCTCCATCCCCTGGCAATTACTGATCTGCTTTCTGTCCCTATAGATTTGCCTATTCCAGATTTTTCATATAAATGGAGTCATATATGTGACCTGTAGTGTATAGTTTCTTTCACTTAGCATAATGTTTTCAAGGTTTATCCGTGTTTTAGCATGTCTCAGTACTCTTTCTTCTATTTATTTATTTATATATATATTTTTGAGATAGAGTCTCCCTCTGTCACCCAGGCTGGAGTGCAGTGGTGTGATCTCAGCTCACTGCAACCTCCGCCTCCTGGGCTCAAGCCATCTTGCCTCAGCCTCCCCAGTAGCTGGGACTACAGGCATGCACCACCATGCCCAGCTGATTTTTGTGTTTTTAGCAGAGACAGGGTTTTGTCATGTTGGCCAGGCTGGTTTTGAACTCCTGGCCTCAAGCGATCTGCCCACTTTGACTTCCCAAAGTGCTGGGATTACAGGCATGAGCCACCACACCTGGCCTATTTACTTTTGCCCACAATCACTAGACACTGTTTTACTTTTTCTCTCTTTATTATTTTTTGTGATCAAGCACTTCTTTTTATGACTAAATAATATTCCATTGGATGGCTCTACCACATTTTGTTTATTCGTTCATCAACTGATGGACATTTAATTTGTTCCCACTTTTTGGCTGTTAAATAGTGCTGCTATCAACACTTGTGTACAAGTGTCCATTTAAACACCTATTTTCAATTCTTTTGGGTATATACCCAGGAGTAGAATTGTTGGGTCATATGGTAGTTCTATATTTAATTTATCAAGGAACTGCCAAACTGTTTTCTACAGTGGCTGCACCATTTTACACTTATATTACCATATACATTACATAAGGGTTTCAACCTCTCTACATTCTTGCTAACATTTGTCATCTTCTTCTTTTTTCTTTCTTTTTTTTTTTTTTTTTAGTATAACCACCCTAGTCAGTATGAGTGGTAGATATATTTGAGGCATATGCTTAGTTTAAATGACTCCTCTCTGTAAGTGCCTTACTACCATCTGTAGAAGGTGGCTCCCACAGTTATTTACACACAATGTGACGCTGACCTCTGGTCATAGCTGACTGGATCATGGATGGATTCCTGAGCCAATTTGGGTCAAATATTTTTTTCCACGGAAGTCTGTATTTGAGTAGGGGTGTGGGGGATAGACCTGGTTCGTATGGCTAAGATATGAACTTGGGAGCTGTGGGTAAGCATCTTTGCTCCCTCAGGGGAACAGATCAGCAGAGGGAACTCCTCAGGAAAAAGACGAACACAAATACTCAAGAGAGAAAAGGAAATGAAAGATGGACAGAGTACATATCCCCCTGAGTTCTGACAGTTTGCAAATTCCCAGTTCTAGTCCTTTCTTAAGCCTGACTGCATTCTTGTTTTAGGGCCTATAACTTGCCCTTTTACCCTGTTGTGGCTAAGTCAATGCCAGGGAATTTCTGTTTCTTGAAAATAATAGAACCCAGGGCAACAACTCATTGCTACTCACAACCTACTTAAGAAGGCCCGGAAACTGTTGGTCAAAGCACAAGAACTATAAGGATGCTTTCATTTTTTGGCTCTAAAAATTATTTCTTGTGACCTCACCGGCCTTGCCTCTGCCCACCAACCCAGTGTAATTTGGAGGCAAATTCAGTGTTTTAATATCATCCAATATTCATGAGGCATCCTCAAGGGCAGGGTGGTCAGCACTTTGCCACCACCTTGATGTGTCTCTTGGCATCTGTTCCAGATTTTTTTCCCCTAATAGCAGAACTCTTTCATTTGGCTCACCAAGTGTCATGTTTTCTTGTTTCAGTTATCACTGTAAATTTTCCCACTCTTACAGAGCTCTTCAAGGGCAGGAAGGCAACAGTTTAGAGGAAGGACATTAAACTGGAATTTCTGAAGGACCAAATTCTGCTCCTGTTCCTGCCACTAGCTTTGCTCTGTAATGCTGAGTAAATCATGAGACTCTATCTGTTTTCCCATCTGTGGAAGTGGGAGAGAAAAATAATACTTTCTCTGCCTACTTCACAGAGATGCAAGTTAAAATTAGGTCATGGATATGAACATTCTATGAAGCAAAAATATATAAATTGCTTTATCCATAATGGCAACGAACTCCTTTGTTTTGTATCCCACTCCCAGACATCAAGTTCAAGGGCCTCACTCAAAAATTACTTGAATTTAACTCTAGTTGATTTAAAAAAAGGGGGGGGGGACCCTGTCTCTTCATCCATTTTTCTTGAACACTGCTGAACACTTTTTTAAATTACAAAAAAAGAAAACAAGAGACACAGATCCTGTTCTGTTCTAAGGCAAGTGAATTTCGTGCCATTTCTTTTTCTTTTCTTTTCTTTTTTTTTTTTTTTGAGACAGAGTCTTGCTCTATCACTCAGGCAAGAGTGCAGTGGTGCAATCTTGGCTCAACGCAGCCTCCGCTTCCCAGGTTCAAGAGATTCTCCTGCCTCAGCCTCTTGAGTGGCTGGGATTACAGGTATGCACCACCACGCCTGGCTAATTTTTTTATTTTTAGTAAAGATGCGGTTTGGCCATGTTGGCCAAGCTGGTCTCAAACTCCTGGGCTCAATCCATCTGCCCACCTCGGCCTCCCAAAGTGCTGAGATCACAGGCATGAGCCATCGTGCCGGGCCTGTTGCCATTTCTTAATGACTGTATTTATTTCCCTGTAACCTCACATGCTATTTCCTAACACGTCTCCATCATGCATATTTCTCATTAACAGTGGTTTGCAAATTTGTCTGCACAGTGAGGAGCTTAGAAAATTCTGATGCCTGTGTCCCACCCCTGGAGATTGTGATGTAATTGGTCTGGGCCATGGCCTTTGGAAGTTTTAAAAGCTCCCTAACTGGTTCAAATGTATAGCCAAGTTTGGGAATCACTGTCTTTAGAGTTCCTCTCCTTGTTAACAGATCTGATTCTCATCATCTTTGGGTTAATTCCCAACTAGGCTCTCACCTGAAGCATTTCCCTTTTAAATTACTGTAAGGAAACAACAGAGGAGATTAATCCTAAATTCATCTTTTCTTCCTACTGTGATTGCCTTGGTCTTCACCACTTTAATTGAAATCCCTTTTGATAAATGCAGTGAAGCCATTAATGGAGGCTTCGCTTATTTGCATGCACATTTCCTGTTCTTCTGTGTCTTCCCACCAACAACTTAGCTATGATTTGCATACCTTTTTTTTTTTTTCTTTTCCAATTCAAATGGCCTCTCGCTGTACCTGAGTGGCTGGCTAGGTCTAATTGCTATCTTCATTTCTGTTTGGGCAAAATTTTCCTTTCTTCACTTAGGTCATCTCCACCTTCAGGATCTGGCCAGCCAGGTCGGCCAGCTTGTCCCAAGGGTTGCTTGGGCTACACCTTACACTGAGACATCTCACAATTTGGAGCTAGACTTGGTAAAGCCATTCTGCTCTTCTGTTGTTTATCCATTCCTGGCTGACTGGGGCCAGAGGAAATCTGCTGTTGATGTGGTAATATAAGTGAACCCTCTTAGAGGTCCATGGATGACGTGGTTGACCCCACATTGGCTTCAGTCAGGAGCTAGGGCAGATTCAAACCTGAGCACGCATTCCTTTGGGTCTTTTGAGCCACCCCCTGCCCTAGGGGATTGTGTGAGCTTCATCTCAACATGGGTCTGAATTCCTAAGTAAAAACTAGGACTGCTGTTTCACCCAGACCATCCTCCCTACACGCAATGTGTCACTGTCTATCATCTGCCTTGGCCCTCCAGGTTTATAACACTATCTGATTTCCAGGGACTGGAAAGGGGGTGGGAATGATAGAAGAATAGAGGCTTTCAGTTCAACAAACATTACTGAGTCCTGGGCTGTTTCAGGCCATATGGTGCCATGGCCCCATGACAGTCCTCATTCCCTCTCCTCTCTGTCATTCACTCCCTCCCCCATTGGCTAGAGCCAGAGCACCAATCACAACCCAGGGTGAGAGTTCCAACTCACCTGTGCTATCAACAAAGGGCCAAAAATCATTCCCTCTCTCTCTCTTTTTAAGAACTGCTTAATTCTTTTAGTTGTTTAAGCTATTTTATTCTCTCTCTCTTTCCCTGAAGAAAGCAATTTTTATGTTAAAATATATTTTGAGGTATTTCAAAGAAATTTACCATTACCTTCTTTAAATTTTTATTTTTTTATTTTGGTGGGTACACAGTAGATGTATGTATTTACAGGGTACATGAGATACTTTGATACAGACATGCAATATGTAATAATCACATCAGGGTAAGCAGGGTATCCAACCCCTCAAGCATTTATCCTTGGTGTTACAGACAATCCGATTATAATCTTTTGGTGATTTTAAAATGTACAATTAAATTATTTTTGACTGTAGTCAACCTGTTGTGCTAGCAAACAGTAGGTCTTTATTCATTCTTTCTATTTTGTACCCATTAATCATCTCCACTTCCCCCTGACCCCCAACTACCCCTCCCAGCCTCTGGTAACCATGCTTCTGCTCTCTACCTCCATGAGTTCAATTATTTTAGTTTATAGCTCCCATAAATATGTGAGAACATATGAAGTTTGTCTTTCTGTGCCTGACCATTACTTTAAATGACTGGAACATACTAGCATTTTCCCACTTTACTTTTGCTTTAGGGGCCCAGGATAAATCCACAATGGCATATGATGCCTGAGGCCACAGATTGAGTCCAATAAAGGTCTCTTATCTTATGTATTATTAATGCCATATCATGATGAATAATAACTGAACCTATTGAGCACTCTTACTACATGGTGGACACTATGCTAAGCCCTTTTCATAATTAATTTTAGTGACTCCTTGCCCTACCTTATGAGGGGGGTATTATTTATTATCTCCATTTTACATAGGAGGAACTGAAGCCTAGGGAATTGAAAGCTTACTCCTCTAGTAAATGGAAGGGCTAGAACTCAGACCTAATCCGACTACTGAAAAGTCTTAATCTCTACAGTTTTCTGAGATGATCTCCTTTTAGGAAAATGTTGTCTTTCAATGTCAATAGCAAAGGTTTCTCTGATTTTGAAAAGTGAGGCCTGTATAATTATTGGGTTATAAATATAAGGGATCAAGAGTTTCATGTACTTAATAGTCACTTGAAAAATAATTATCCATGGGTTGATTGACAAGCAGCATTTTGTGCATTCAGATTCTGGATAGGGTTCTAGATATTAGGAAATGATGGAGGGGAAGCCAATTTAGCTTCCTGGGGGTTCATACAGAGGCCCTTTTCAGCCACACCTGTGCCCTGTTGTTGCACATTCCAAATCTACTCTAAAAGGCTTCCTTATTTCACAGAGATCTAATATAAAAGTGATAGAGCTGACTGACAAGGCTGAGGAAGGCTTTTGAAGGAAAAGATAGCAATTTCAGAAAATGAATCCTGCGGTTTAGAAAGAAATCAGCCGAACTTATGATCTGAGCTCATTTTGTTCTGTTCTATTAAAGAAAAAGAAAAAGAGGAAGAAGAGAAAAAAATTGCTCTATCACAAAGAAAACAATTTCCTTAAACCTGGTGAATTACAGTCTATCTATGGAGCCTGCATCCCCCTGAGATACCTAGACTTTCAGAGCCAAAAAGGGACATTTAAAGAAAGCTTTTTCATCTAAGTCCTGAATTGCACAAAAAGGAAACTGAGGCTCCAAAAGAGTCTGGAACCACACCACTAGTTAATGGAAACTCTCAGTTTTCCTCCCTTTTTTATCTTACCCCTTCTTCTTACTTTTGCTTTTTGAATGACAGGGTATTCACAGGCCACTGAAAGAAAAAATAAGATAATTTCTGGTTCTTCAAGAAAGGTCAGTGAGAGCTCTAAAACCTCTAGAAAGAAGAGGTCAAATTATTTAATCTAATTTCAGGAAACACTTTGATTTTATTAGCTGAGGGACTGAGTAAGGAGGCAAATCAAGATTTATTACTGCTTTCCATGAAAAAAGAGGAAAATGAATATTGGCTTAATGAGGGTTTGGGTCTGTAATTTAATTCCTCACCTCTAGAGAAACAACCCACAGAAAAAAGTTTAATAGATCCTATCAGTGATCTCTTGAGCTAGTAAGGAAAGGAGTCATCTGTCATTTCTCCAGGGAACTCTGGGTTCAAAGTTGCTTCTGTGGTATGGAAGTCTAGAAAAGAAGCAATCCATTGGAATCTCATTGGTCCAGAAAGCATGCCAAAAAAAGTGTTTTTGCTTCACCAGACCAGGTAACTAAACTTACAGGAAAAATTCCTAACAAAGACTTAGCCAGTGATAGTAATATTAATTCCAGGGGAAGAGTTTGGAGGTGAGATGGAGACAAAGAAGGAAGGCGGAGTTGTATCAATTCATTAAGTATTTATTGAGTGCCAACTATGTAGTAGACACCAAGAGATAAATAAAACCAGCTCTGTCCCTGGAAATGCTTGCAGATGAGTAGGAACTAGCAACCATGAAGGACCTTGTTCCCAGGATCCGGACACCAATATGCAAAACCATCCAACATCCCCAGCAGCTCATTTCCATTCTTAGACTCTTGTTCTGTTACATTTATTGGACAGTGCAGCTCACTCCTGTGGGCTACAAAACTCCCCAACTAATTAGCAGTGCACAGATGTTAACCTAGCACAGATGTTAACCTAGCAGCTGGGTGCTATACAAGGCACACATATCCAGCCAAAGTCTGAGGATGTTTAAAAGAAAAAAGAGAAATTCAGAGTCAACTGAGCATCCAGTTCTCTTCCCCAGATGTCATCAGTGCAAACAGGAAGTAGGGCTTGCCCCAGCCATGATCAGAAATTCAGCTCTTGAAGGCTGCTTCACTCTATCAAGACTTCAGCTGTTGAGGAAAGGGACTACATACTTGTGTTAAAAAAAAAAAAAACAAAAAAAAAACCATTATCCATCATGGGATCTAATCCAGGCCAGTGCCAGTTGGATCGATCAACCTTTTAAAAATCTTTTTAGGATAAATATACAGCTATAGTCATGAATTAAAGATGTGAGGGAGAGAAAAATAGTACATAGCTTACAGTGGTTAACACTGGGTTTAAAACCAAAGTGTGATGCTGCATTAATCTTCTGGTTGAGGCCTAATAGGAATTGAGTAAATTTGTTTTAACCATTTCTATTCTGACAAACATTAAAGATTCTTGAGTTTTGTGGAAGACAAGAAGGAGAATGACTTAGGTGTGGATAGGAGAGGTAGGTGTGGCTAACTTAAAAAAAAAAAACACACAGAATTTTCTACCAAAGCTGTATATCTGATTGTTGAATATTAAATAATATTATTATTACAATATTAATATTGCTGGCCAATTTTATTCATTCTCTTACAGGTATATTTCCAACTCATGAGTTCTTGTGTACATATAAGTTTAGAAGAGACAAACAGTGATACTCATAGCAATTAGGGTAGCTCTGTGATTCCCTAAGTGAATTACTCACTATTCTGTATTTTTACAGGTAGAGTTATGCCAAAGATTTCAGGAACAGATTGGGAAGCAGGGCCAGCTTCATGGGTCTGTGACCAATGTAGTCACACAGGGCTCCACACTGAAAAGGGGTCCACAGAGGGCAATAGTGGAACACAGGCTAACCCCCACTGATGCAACACTTGGCATTTAGTGCTCTGCATTGCTATCTTCAAATTCCTAGTAATTTTATCTTTGAGTTTGTGTTCAGTAAGTGAAGCTCAATGGAACAATGAAGCATGTGCCTGGGGACTTGAAACCTTGACAATTGCCATCCTGGTTTCCTAGGACTTCTCATCTCCCCAGGATGGGTTACTGAGAGTCTGCCCTCTGTTTCCTGACGTATCAGGCCGCACCCAGCCTCCCCTTCCCCACCTGGCCTCCCCTTCCCTACCCTAGCCCTGTGATTACTGTCACTCTCCACCTGGGGTAACAGCCAGGTTGCATTAGTGGGGGGTGCCTGTGTTCCACTGTTGTCCTCTACTCCTGGCAGGGGCCTGGGCACAGGCACGGGGAAGGTTGGGTATGCACCCCCTGACATGTCAGGGTAGAGCAAGGTAGCAGTGGTCCCTGTCCTGGACTGGCAGTGCCACAGTGCATTTGGCTGGTGACTTGACGGAGCCCTCCCACCCATCCCTTATTCAAGTACCTGTGGCATCTTGGCATGGAAGCTATAGACTCTTGAGGAATCATCTATTGACCCTGGGTTGGGACAGTGGGCCTATGGGAAGGAGGAGATTGAGTTTCTTGCCCCAGCTAGGGCCTTAAATTTTCATTTTGCAATGGACCCTCTTGGCAAGTGGTCAATTTCAAAGATTAGGGATGAGGCAGGGTGGAGAAAAGCCTACTACTTGATTAATACAATTTTTGTATGACATCTAGCTTGGTACATAAGCTATTGGTAAACACATTAGAAGAATGGAAAATAAGTTCTTGCCCTTGAGGGGCTTATAATCTAGTTGAAAATAGATGAAATCAAAATAGATGAAACAATGAGATTTCACAAAGGAGGCAGAATGGAAGAGGGGTCTTGAAAGTAGGATTTAGTTGTGGAGGGAAGGGTGAAAAAGAGACCTGGTTAATGCACTGCAAAATATAGGGCTAGGCTGACTTGATGATCGTGGTATATGTTTTGGTTCAAGGCCAATTACAGCATACTAGAGGGGAGGGTGATCCTGGTAGGAGGGGGAGCTGTAGGAACAGGCATGGTGGATGTGAACCACTGAGGACAGTGACTTGGCGAAATAAAGAGTGTGGGCCTAAGGTGGGCGATAGGCTGCATGGAGCCAAATCACAGATGGCAGAGAAAAGAAAAAGAGTTCAGAGCCTCCCAGCTATGTATACTGAGGTACGGCAGGCTGCTACTATACAACACAGCAGGCCACTCAAAGCTCTCCTTCTGAGACCAGCAAAGAAGGAACGAAAGGAATTGACCCTGTGCTTAAGCAAACCATGGAGTGAAGTGAAGTTTCACAGTGAGCTCAATGATGAGGGGGAAAAGCAAATATTCTCTGGTGAAGGTTGACTTAATTAACCATTTTAATAATTCATGAGTCTTTAAAATGTTTGCCAGAAGATTCAGAGCTCAGATTCTGCTTCTGGTGTTGAACTCAGGGTTTTCTCTATCGCAAATTGTGCTGGCTCATGCAACAATGGCAGCAGCATGCCTGGGAATGTGAGGCCCTTGCTCAGATAAACTGTGGACAGCTTTTATCCCTTGGGACTTCAAACCCTTCTGAGAATCTGATGAAACTACTGAACCTTTATCCTAGGAAAAATACATGCATGTACAAATTCAGGGCTTTGGAGACTCCCCTGAGGTTTGCCTTTGAACCCTAGCCTAAGAATCTCTGATTTAGGACCACCTCTAAGAGCTCTAACATTCTATGATTCTTTTTTAACCTACCCACAAGCCAGCCTTTCAAGATGTCACCTGAAAATGCAGTGACTTTTTGGGCTTGCAGGCAAGCAGCCTCATGTAGATGTTTGCAAAGTGAGAAATGCATAATGCAATATTTGTTCATTAGGCTGAAGCAATGTTAATGCAGAAAAGAGAACTGAATGAATCAAAAGCCATGAGTCAGCTGCCTCCTTAGCAGGTGGCGGGGAGGGAGGCAGCCTGCTGAAGCTGAGGGGGTGGGCTCTAGAGTCAGACAGCCTGGGGCCCTCAAACCCCAGACAAGGTACTTTCTGGCTGTGGCTTGGGGGAGCGATTCAACCTCTCTTAGTCTCGGTTTCCTCATTTGTAAAACAGAGCTAATAAGATGTACTCTATACCCTATGTTTTGAGGATGAACTAAGCTGAACTGTAAATCCTTATGCATAGTGCCTAGGCTACAGTAGTGCTCAGTAAAGGTACTTAACTCTCCTAATCTCACCCAGAAGGAGGAGGGGTGCTGTGAATTTGGGGACACTGTGTTGATTTAATGTTGGGGGAGGAAACAGACTCAGGAGTGGCTTGGCACTCTCTCAGAACTCCTGGATATATAGCCTCTCCCCTTCCCTCATTCCCCCAAAAGCTTCCCCTCCTGGAATGTGGGCCGGCTCAGGAAGCTAAAGAAGCACCCCCTGTTAACAGCCTTGGTCTTCTCCCCTCCTCAGCTGCTCAGGAGTGTGGAGGCTGCAGGAAACAATGGCAGGAGATCTGGGTTTTTTCTGGCTGCAGGCCTGACTGCAGCAGAGAAGGCAACAGAGAAGGAAAGAGAGAGGAAGAAAGAGTGAGAGAGAGACTGGCTTCTCCTCCATTTCTCAAGCAAGAAGGCTTGCCAGCACCGCCCACCATGGAGCTGCGGCTGGTCCTGGGGCGAATGCAGAGCTGAGCAGCATACAGCTCCTGTTCTCATAGACCTGGCAACTCTGACATGGAAGTAAGGCTTGCCCAAGAGAGGAGAGTGACTAAGGGCTGCACTGCTGGATGCATCCAGACCCTTCGATAAGGGGTCTGGGAGGGGAAGGGGCAGAGAGTGAGGGCAGGATGGTAGAAAATGTCTTGACTCAGTGCCAGGCCCTGAGCTAGACACTAGACATGCACTAACTCTCATTCTCACAGCAACGCTCCAAGATAAATGCTATTATCCTGCATGGTACAAGCGAGGAAACCGAAGCTCAGAGAGGCCAAGTGACTCCCTCAAAGGCAACAGCTATTAAGTGGTGCCATAGGATTTAAACCAGGTCTGCCTGTCTATGAAATACTTTTTTCCCCATTCCCCATACAAGCTTAGCTAGGTGAAAACAGGGAGCCTCCATAGTCCTAAAACTCTGGGTCCTGTGAAGCCATTACCCAGTCACATGCAACGCTATGCAGAGTCCTGGCTCAGTAAATATTTGCCCCATGAATGGGAAGGAGAGAATGTGCCTTTCTTGGTTCTAGGCAGCTCTTGGCAGTTCACGTGCACTGTTTACCTTTCCTCCCACATTCCCCCGAGAGGAATCATCATCCCTCCCTTCCCTCGACTGAAAACAAGGCAGAGTGGAATGACCTGAAGTGCCTGGCTTAAATAGAGCCTATCTCAGACCTGCCCCACATGGCCACAGGTCTCCTTTCAAACAGCAACCTCCGTCAGAGAATCCCAGTTAAGAAAAATATCTCACATCGTTTAATAAGGCAGACTTGGGAGGAGAAAATGTTTTAAGGCCTTTGCAGTTTGTGTGTGTTCAGGCTCCTACAAGGGAAAGCATTTTGGATTTCCTGGGAAAGCTGGCATCCCAGAGGCTGAGAGTGGATCGGGGGAGGAAGGTCTGCAGCAGGCAGCAGCAGGGAGGTTTTAGCCCAGCTTGGGCCTTTGCCAAGGAGAAACCCTGCTGTCCTAGGGAATTTGCTGAGCAGAGTCTCTTGGCCTGATTTGTAGCTAGTGATGCGAATGCATTATCCAAAGCTGGGTGCCAAGCAGAGAGCAGAATGAGACCACCTCTCCATTCATTTCCAGCCATTGATTAGATGATGTTGATGAACTGTGATTTTTAAATGGAAACGGCTTTGTCATCATGATTTTTCAATACAATTCTAGCATGGCTCTTTATTTTCTAACCAAGGCCCTAGGCATCCAATTTAACATGTTGGGTATGACATGTTCCCCAGGGTCAGCTTTTTATTTCATTGCCATTTTAAGGGTATCAGAATATGTGCTAAGAATTTACATTTGAATAATAGATTTCTGGATGGTAAAATCCTATTATTTACATTTAGTAAAGTCCCTTTGGATATTAAGAACCAGCACAATACTAATTTTTCTTGCTGTCACTTAACAATATAAATTGGTTTTGTGTAAGAACCAGGAGCTCATTGGATTGAATTTAGGAAACTGGTAAAACAAATTTGACTTCAGCAGGTTTGAATGATTACAATGTAATAAACATATAAAGGCTAGGAAGCTAATTTATCATTGCTTTTTGTTTTATTTATTTGAAACTCCTTCATCTTTGGTATAAACAGGCTTTATTAAAGATTATGAATTCAATTTCCAAATGAGTTGTAAATGGCTTTCTATAGAGAGATTACTTGATTTGTTATTTTCCTGAATAAAACATGTTTTTGCCCAGTGGGGTTATGTAGCCTATATATTAACATTGGAGGATTATTCTGTTGTGCTTGGCATCTATGATGTGCAACGTTTGATTTGTTCTCTGATCTATTTGTCTTCACTCTCTTTAATAAACACTGAGACAGAATGCATAACCTCTTAAGACCTGCACTTCAATGAATCATAAAAGAATGTCTGCCTGTGTAGCAGTTTATCACTGGAATAATAATTCTTGTTCCCTTTAAAAATGTTACAGTGTCTGCTCTTCAAAACAGACTGCAGAGAAAAGCATGAGAGATGCTGTGGGTCACTGATGGGGAATCATAATTGACCTCAGCTTTTGTCGCATGGTAACAGGCTTTCAGGGTATTAGATCATCACATACCACAGAACTACAAATATACTGCCCTCAAAGTCAGGGGGGAAATTTTCCATTTTCAATTTATAAAACTACACAGCACAGACCTGTGTAAAAGGAGGCAGTTTGTCGGTTGGGCTGGAACCTCCAGGAAGATAGCCCTTCGGGAGCCTGCCATATTGTAAAAACCTGTTCAACTTCAACCCTTTTGCAAAAGGATTGTGTAACTTTCACAGCCCAGTGCTTACTGGAATAAATGCACACTGCACAAGTGAAATCACTGAAAAAGGGATCAATGCCTAGGTGAAGTATCTCAGAATGCTGGGGCTGGGAAGAACCTTGGGAGGCCATTTATTTTAACTCCTTCAAGGCTAGTTGGCATATTTTAATGTATTAAAACTAATGTCTAAAGAGCTAGAAAAGCTGTCTGAAGAATTAATATCTCTCCTCAGGAAACTCCGTTTGTTGCTGTTACTGTTTCTTTTATTTTACTGCATCATAAAACTCCAGAATGAAGGATGCAAAGTTTTAGTGGAGAGGAAGTCATTAGCCAACATCATTATTGGAAGAAATGATTTTGTACTGTTAATGACAGTATTATGTTTACTCCATAATTCAATAACTGTGAAGCAGTCTCCAATGAAGAGATTCAGATATCTCTGTTCAAACTAAACTGCGCCACAGGCCAAACTGACCAAATGTATTGTTTTTAAGCGTTTAAGTTGACTCAATAATTCCAAAGTCTAGCAAGGAAATACAAATAGTTAAACGATTCACTCATAAGTGTGTAGCAACCTCAGGAATGAGTTGGTCTAGACTAGTACAATTAAAGTAAATCAAACTCCAATCTTAAGGGAACCTGCCCCTTGACGTAGAGGACAAAGAAAAGACTGGAGGGCTGCCAGGCCTACTTTTACGTCCTCACTTCAAACCCTAAACTGTGTCTCCTCTTCTTAAACTCCTAGAATATCTCAGTTTGTCATTTTCTACCTCCCAGTGGAAAATAATTCTCTTTTCCAAGATGCTTCAGACAATCCTAAATGTCAGTCACTTGTGATCACATCTACAATAAGGTATACGCACCCGAACCTGGCTTTACTTCTGACTGGGCTGAATGTTCTGGTTGTCTTCCTTGTCTTTCTATCTTCCAGGCACCCATCATGGTACCTAGCATATAGTAGGTATTCAACTTTTCTTATTGCTGATTGTTTGTTAACACAATTTTAGTGGGATCTGCAAATTCCATATGAACCCATGACTTTAGTTTGCCTCTCAGCAGTAAACCTGCTTTCTCAACTCCAATTTCTATTTTCTGTCTGACAAGAATTACTTCTGTCTGCAGCCCATTATATTCTAGAAACCACAGATTTTTTATTTGTATTTTTTTTTTTTTTTTGAGACAAAGTCTCACTCTGTCATCCAGGCGGGAGTGCAGTGGTGCAATCTCGGCTCACTGCAACCTCCGCCTCCTGGGTTCAAGTGATTCTCCTGCTTCAGTCTCCCAAGTAGCTGGGATTATAGGCATGGGCCACCATGCCTGGCTAATTTTTTGTATTTTCAGTAGAGACAGGGTTTCACCATGTTGGCCACACTGGTCTCGAACTCCTGACCTCAGGTGATCCGCCCGCCTCAGCCTCCCAAAGTGGCGGAATTACAGACGTGAGCCACCGCGCCTGGCCTAGAAACTACAGGTTTAAATCTTGCCTTCAGAAAGGTTGTTAGTCATAAAAGTTTTAGACATCAAAAAGAACTACTTGGAATTTCTGTATCACACATGTTGCCTTGAATTGTATTCTAGCTACTTTATGGATTTTTGTATCTCCAGTTAGAAAGGATATTTATTTATTTATTTATTTTGAGACAGAGTCTTACTCTGTCACCCAGGCTGGAGTGCAGTGGCGCGATCTCGGCTCACTGCAACCTCCTCCTCCAGGGTTCAAGTGATCCTCGTGTCTCAGCCTCCCAAGTAGCTGGGAAGCGGCAGATGAAAGGTTGAGACAGACAGGGTCTGAACAAGAGAAAAGCATGGACCCTCAGCCAGCAGGATGCAATTATAACTGCACACCACCACATCCGGCTAATTTTTGTATTTTTAGCAGAGACAGGGTTTCACCATATTGGGCAGGCTGGTTTTGAATTCCTGACCTCAAGTGATCCACCTGCCTCAGCCTCCCAAAGTGCTGGTATTACAGGTGTTAGCCACTGTGCCTGGCCTCTGTTTCTTTCTTTGTTCTCCTAGTGCCTAGTCCAGTGTTGGGCACTAGCAGGTACTGAAGAACCTATGTGATTAATGAATGAGTGAATGAAAACAAGTACTCCTAAGCAGAAAAGCACACTGTTTTGAGTCTGGGATTCAGGCAGAAATGAGTTAGAAATCTGAGACTACTAGCTGTGTGACTTTGGGAAAATTATGTAAATCCTTTATGTCTTAGTTACTTCATCTGTAAACTTGAGTGGTTGCAGAACTGACCCTATAAGTCACATGGGGATTCAATGTGACACTAAATGTAAAATGCTTAGCACAGTTCCTACAACATAGTGGATATAGTGTTTGAAAAAGTTAGTTACTCTTAGCATAATGAGAAGTGATTAAAAACACACATAGCCTGGGCATGGTGGCTCATGCCTGTAATCCCAGCATTGTAGGAGGCAGAGGCAGATCGCTTGAACCCAGAAGTTTGAGATCAGCCTGTACAACATGGCAAAACATCATCTCTACTAAAAATACAAAAAATTAGCCAGATGTGGTATTGCACTCCTGTAGTCCCAGCTACTCAGGAGGCTGAGGTGGGAGAATCATCTGAGCCCAGGAGGTCAAGGATACAGTGAACCAAGATCTAAGATTATGCCATTGCACTCTAGCCTGGGCAACTGAAGTGAGACCCTGTCTCAAGAAACAACAACAACAACAAAATAATAAAAACACACATGAAGATGTGATAAAGGTGGAATATGGGGGTTACTGCAAATGCTATGGCTGGGTTAGAGAATCAGCAGAATTTTAAAGAGGGTAGTAATGGGAGTCAGTCATGGATATGATACAGGAGACAGATTGGAGCCAGGGAAATGGGTTCTAGATCTGACTCTTTCTCCAACTATGCAGGATCTTGGGCAAATCACCCCAACTTTAGGGTCTGAATTTCATCATTAGAGGGTTGCACTAAATGACCTCTGAAATCTCTTCCCACTCAAACAATCTATAATTTGAGGGAAAGGATTCCTAGCAGCATGCATGTGCTGCTTTTAGTGAGGGTGAGAGAGAGAAAGGCAGAGAGAGAGACCGCAGGCAGGCTAATGTTCTAAATTTAATCCAACGAGCACCTGGTTCTTACACGAAACCAATTCATATTGTTAAGTGACAGCAAGAAAAGTTAATATTATGCTGGTTCTTACTATCCAAAGGGACTTTACTAATCTCCTTTAGATCAAGAGATAATGTGACAGACTTGCCATCTGAGGCCCAGAGAGGCTATGCGACTTACTCCAGATGACAGAGCTAGTTGGTGGTGATGTGGATGCAAATCTCTACTTCCTGAGTAGTCCCTGTGCAGTGTGGGGTCCCCTATACAATGTCAAATGACTCGGAGACAGAAGAGAGCACAGCCCATGAAGTGCTTGCTGGGGAGGGGAAACAGAACGCAGGGCTTGCTGGAGATAACTTCACTAGACACAGAAGGACACTGCTGAAGGAGACCTTTTGTTCACAACTAAAAGTTTTAATATGATAAAGTTAACTAAGAATCACTGGCAAGTAAAATTATTCCATTTTTTTTTTTTACTACTAAGAGACACAGTAAATCTAGACCAAATACATTCAGACAAGATTGGGTGCATTCAGAGTGGTATGGCTGTATATAAGACAAAATATATTCAAATAAAGAAACTCGAACATAAGAGAAAATTAACATGGGTGATTCCTATAAAAATAGTCAAAATAAAAGTATTATGGGTTTGTATGAATATTGGAATGGGGAACTGGGGCAATAGCTGTCACTCTTTTTCTCTCCTGACCTTGGGGTCTCCCTAAGGAGACCAAGAATTGAACTCTTAGAATAAAGCAAAGCTCCTGTTCTTTCCAAGGCTTCTCTGCCTCCCAGGAAAGTGCCACAAAGCAGCAGCAACACCAGCAGCAGCAGCAGCAAGTGTGAAGATGAGAGTAGGGGCTGTGGGAAGATATGGCCTCTCTGCCAAAGGCAGTTATAATTGCATCCTGCTGGCTGAGGGTACATGCTTTCTCTTGTCCAGGCCCTGCCTATCTCAATCTTTCACCTGCTGCTTCCCAGTGGGCTTTATGATATTATCCATATTCCAGTGTGATCCAGTGCTCACTTTTTACACTCCCAAATATGACACCTTCAGGAAGAACTGAAGGAGCTACATGGAGATGGCATGAAGAATTGAGTGCTGAGAGCAAGGGTTCAGAATAAAGGCTGTATTGAGAAGAAAAGTTTCTGAAGACCTAGGAAGAGCCATCGAAGTGTTTATGGACAGGATGAGTGCAAAATATATAAAATGGTGACTTTTTAAAAGTTTAGAATGAAAAAAAAAAAAAAAGGA